CCGCCCGAGCCCCGCTGCGCGGTGGAGACTGGAGCGCCCTGCAGCGCCGGCGCGTTTCGGGGGTGGGCACGGCGCTGGGCGCGCAGCCCCGGGGAAGGCTCTGCGGATGGGCCTGGCGGGGAGGAGGAAGGGCGGCCTAGAGGGAAGGAAGATGCCGGGAGGGGGAGAGAGGAGGGCGGTGGAAGGCTCTGGTGGAAGGAACCGGAGGAGAAGGCAGAGCCCTGCTCCCTGTGCAACCCCTGCCTCGGGTCAGCCTCTTGCTGGGGCATTTCTCACGTGAGACCCCCACCTTGAGCGGTTACCCCATGCTTTTTTCTGCCCAGTGAGACGGCGGAGGAGGCCACAGTGGCTGGGCCTCCAGACGCAGCCCCCAGGCCCAGGGTAGGTGAGGTGTGGGGGCGTTCCCCACGGCCACCAGGAAGTGTCCACTGACCAACCTCATAATGTGACCAGCGGTACAGATTCCCCTCCCGGGGAGGAGAGTGGGCCACAGTGCTCTTCTTTCAGAGGTATTTGGAGTCAAATTGGTAAAATAAAAATTTTTATTCAGAGCCAGCTTTGAAGGAAGATGAAAGAAACTTCATTGTTTTAAAAACTCCGTCTTTTAAAGCGTTTAAGAGGGGAAGGGCGCACCGGAACCAAGGACAGGAGCTTCCCGGTTCTGCCTCCTTCCGAGTCCAGTTGGCCAAGAGGCATTTCACGGATGTTCACAGGTTCCTGCCCTTGGAGCTGGGACTTCCTGGGCCAGCCTCTGTGGCTGCCTTTTAGGTAACAATGTTATCTTTTTTAACTGAGGAGAAGGAAAGGTATCACAGAGGCTTTTCTTTAGAGTTTAGAACCTCAAAGAGAGGGTGTTTGAGATGGAGAAATGTTGGGAGGCAGTCACAGCCTCCTTGGCCTCCACTCTCAGCAGGAGGAAGCCATTCCCAATTTCAGATGGGTGGGGGCGCAAGTTCAGTCTGTTTCAGTAGAAACGGTGGCAAGGGACAGAGAAAGAGGGATGCTTTCCAGCTTGTGCCGTGAGGCCGTCCAACCTCCGGCGCACCGTGGTACCCAGACCCTACATAGACATGTCCAGAAAGAAAACCAGAGGCGGGCCATGCTCATGACCATGGGTCCATCCGTCCTTCATCAGACATTCGCAGATCAGGCCAGCAGGATGTGAAGGCCAGCCTCCTGACCCAGCTGAGTCTATTCCTGGAATGGAGAGGAGGGCTGACAGTGGGATTGTGCCCAAGTGCCTCACGGCAGTAACGACCTAGGAGAAATGTCACCTCCGTGGAGAGGGAAGGAACCTCTAAACTCTGCACCCGTGTTGCTGTCCGGGTTTAGTGTCCAACGTGTACAAAGGACTTCTACAATGTCAGCGTGAAGAAGACAGGGGACCTGGGGGCGTCCCCCATGTCCACCAGGAAGTGTCCACAGACCAACCTTATAATGTGACCAGGTGGCACAAGATTCCTCCGCTCCCTGGAAAGAGAGTAGGCCATCCATGGGAGGGCTCATTTGGACACAAAACTCCTGAAGTTGGACACATAGTATGTATAGCACATAGGAAAAGGTGCTCAACTCCATAGGCATCAGGAAATACCCAGTGAATCCTCCTTCCCCCAAACAGAGCCGCCAAAATGAGGGACGACATCCCACAGACTGGGAAAGGGTGGCCCACCTGCGGCTTCTGCTTTGGTGGGAGTGGGAGTAGGTGTAGGTGGGAAGTGGGTGCTGCCCTCTCGGGCTGGTGCATGTCCCCCCATCCCGTGGCCCAGCAGTCCTTTCCTCAAGCGTGTGCCCAAAGCAGGGTGGACAAATGTGCAGCCAAAGACTGTTCACAACCGCGCTATCCATAGTGGCCCGAATCTGAAGACAACTCCAGTGCCCATCCACAGAGGAGTGGACGCATAGATGGAGGTTTGTTCCCGGATGGGTCACGCTCTGCCAGCGAGGATGAATGAAGAATAGCTCCACACAGCACACTCGGAGCTCACAGCCGCCGCTGGGCCAGAGAACCTGACCCAGGCGTGTACATGTTGTGCAACGCCCTTCGCATGAAGTTAGAGAGCAGGCCGGGTAGTCTCCAGTGTTAGGAGTCAAGGAGAGTCGTCTTGGGGGGTTCCTGGGGCGCAGGCAAGGGTCTGGGTACTGACTTCATGGGGGGCTCCCTTGGACACACTGTATTATTCTTTTCTTTATTTATATTACTTTAGTAAAAAGCTAACTTTTAAAAAGCTAATGTGGCTGGGCTGGTGCCACATGCCAGTAATCCCAGAGACTCGGCAGGCTGAGGCAGGAGGATCGCAAGTTCAGGGCCAGCTTCAACTTAGTGAGGCCCTAAGGAACTCAGGGAGACCTTGTCTCTAATTAGAATATAAAAAATGGGTTGGGCTGGGGATGTGGCTCAAGCGGTAGTGCGCTCGCCTGGCATGTGTGCGGCCCGGGTTCGATCCTCAGCACCACATACCAACAAAGATGTTGTGTGCGCCGAGAACTAGAAAATAAATATTAAAAATTTTCTCTCTCTCTCTCTCTCTCTCTCTCTCTCTCTCTCTCTCTCTCTCTCCCCCCCCCCCCCCCCCCCCCTCCGTCACTCTCTCTTTAAAAAAAAAATGGGTTGGGGATGCAGCTCAGTGGTTAAATCCCCTGGGTTCAATCCCTGACATAAACAAACAAAAGTCTAATTTGCTTCCAATGTCCTCAGGCCCAGGGGAGGGCTCCCTCTGGTCTGCAAAAGAAGGTAGAGCCACACTGTCTCCAGAAGGTGACACAGCCATGGCATGTCATAGCGACTTCAGAAGATGCCGTGTTTCTAAACTCCCTGGTCTCCAGAGAGGAAACGCACCCCGGTGGGCTGGGGGGATGACCTGTTCCTTGGGGAGCAGAGCTGACTCTGGAGGCTGGTCCTGCGGCCATGCTGGGAAAGAAGGAGGGGAGGGGTGACCCTTAGAGCCCGGCATTGCTGGATGCAGGAGGACCTGGTCCTGCAGGTGCTGAGGGGCAGACAGGAAGGGAGTCGGCTGCAGCCCAGGGTGCTGCTCTGGCCTTCACAGAACCGTCCTGGTGCTGCCCCAGGTACCTTTAATACTCCAGGGGTGGCCAGGGAGTCTCTGAGAGGGATGAAGCTTCCAGCCCACAGAACACAGCGAGCGTGACTGGGTGATGACGTTACGAAACACGTCACAGTTGTCTAACTGGCAGACTCTCTTGCTGGCTTGGTGGCACAAGTGCCAGACTGGTGTGGCCCAAACAGCAAGGAGCAGAAAGCAGCCTCCAGTCAAAGCCAGAAAACACCGAGGCCCCCAGCAACCCACGCTGCCGGCCACCGTGAGGACTCAGGCAGGTCCTTCTGCAGCCGAGCCTCGGGGAGGCCTGCAGCCCCGAGGACGTCCCTGCACCGAGTCTCTGAAGCAGAGGGGCAGCTAAGCCAAGCCGACTCCTGACCACAGAGACAGGAAGGACAGGTCGGTGTGCGTGGAGCTGCTGTGTGCGCAGTGATGCCGTCACACGGCCAGGGTTAGGCCACCCGAGGTACGCAGTGGCCAGGTCAGACTGGCCCTCAGAAGACTCATCCAACCCGAGTCCAGGGCCATCTGCACTGATTTTTATCTTCTGCGCTGCGCTGAGTTCAGTCCTTGCATAAAACGGGGCCTGATGCACATCTGTTCAGCCCTGGCACCGGCTCAGGCACCGAGGACGCGGCTAGCGCACGAGCAAATCCTGCCTGCACAGCTCAGGGGTGGGGGCCAGGACCCTGGGTCTGGGCTCCCTCCAGCTGCTCCCACCCAGAGTGACTCTGCGCACGCCTCCCTGGGGTTGTGCACCTCACGGATCAAACCTCCGACCTCCCACGCAGGGTCTGTGCAGGTTGAATGAGCTAACATGGCGGCCTGTGCAGAAGCCCACGGAGGGAGGAGTTGTTATTGTTCTGAAATGTCCCAGGCATTCCTGCCGGCTGACTCACGGGGCTCCAGACATGGAGGGCTCCCTTCCAAATAAGGCTCGGACGTGTCCAGGCGGCGGCCTGCGGGCTTTGCTGGTCACCCTGCCGCTGATGTGAGTGCAGAGCCGGAGTCTGTTGACCCAGGGCTGGCCTGCTCCTGGCCTCTCCCGAGTGGCCCAGCTGCAGTGTGGCCGCGAAGGGCCCTGGGAGCGGCCTTCACGGATCCCGGTGGGGGCTGTGGGCTGGTGTCTGAGTCAGAGGACGGAGGAAGACAGGAGTGGACGGCCGCCAGGGGCCGAGCACATCTCTCGGCGGGATTTCAGAGGCCGCGGCCGTCCCGGCAAACCACGGTCAGTAGCAACAGCCGAGTCCCACTTGCGGGGACCCCTGTGCTTCGATCACTGCCAACGCTGTTCTGCCCCTGAGTCGAGGCCCTTGTGGCTTTCCAGGGCTTCGGGCAGAGTCCGAGGAACCAGGTGTTTGCCCGGGCGGTCCAGGAGGGACGAGCCGCCCCTGGGTGACTGGGGAGAGAAGCATCCAAGTCCTTCCCTGCGTGGCCCCTGGTGACGGCCACAGTGCTCCCAGGAAGGACCCCACCCCGTACCGCACCTCCCCTTCACAATAAAGGGGTCAAGACTGGACTCTGACCCTGGGCTTGCCTGGTTCCGCCACTCCTAGCGCCGTGGACGTGGGCAAGTTAGTGACCTGTCCCTGGCTCTCATTCCTCGTTAGCTCGGCACAAAGTCACTTGATTTGTGGTCACCATGAGGGTCTGTTGCTCTCGTTAAATTTTAATGTGGCCTTTTTATTTATTTATTTTCAATGCACCGAGAGGTTATTCTGTGCAGACACTGGCTTAGGTTTTGGAGATAGAGCAATGAGCCAAACAGAGTCTGTATTAATGGGGACCAAGGTGGGTGTGTCGGGTGGGTGGCCTAGAGGTGAATACCTACATCTTCATGTGGCGTTGAGTGGTGTCAGGAACAAGTCAGGGAGAGAGGTGGGGGTGGCCGGAGTTGTTCTTTTGGATCAGCCGTTGGTGAACCGTGGCCCGCTGTCGCTTGTGTGGTAGATAAAGTTTTATTGGGACACTGCCTTGCTGCTCTGTGTGTTGGCTAGGACTGCCTTTGAGTTAAAGGTTTGCCAAAGAGACTGGTTTGCAAAACTGAAATTCTTTTCTATTTGGATCTTTACAGAAAGAGTTACCAATCCCTGTTTGTTTCTTCATTTATTTTTTGGTACTGGGGATTGAACCCAGGGACAATCTACCACTGGACAGTAGCCCCAGACCTTTGTATTTTGAGAGAGGGTCTTGCTAATCTGCTGAGGCTGGCCTCAAACTGGTGATCCTCCCACCTCAGCCTCCAGAATCTCTGATACCGCAGATGTACACCATGACCCTGCCCGACCCATTTAGATGGTGTGGACAGGGAGAGCAAGAGATTGGGTGGAGCAAACATCCAGGGAAAGAGGTTCAGGAGAGGAAGCCATAAGCCTCAGGGTCCTGATGGGGAATAGCAAGGGGGCAGGTGGGAGTGCAGGAGGGGTCTGGAGGTCGGGCTTTTCCTGGGGGCAGCTGGGGGAGGCGTGGGGGCCTGTTAGGAGGTCGCTGCTGTAATCTAGTTGTCTTGGAACCCAGTGAAAGGTTGCGGGAAGGTAAGAAACGTAAATGTAGGAGGCAAGATTCCCAGGGCCTGCGAGGCGCGGACACAGGTGTGTGTCTGGGGGGTGCGAGGGGGAATGGATGGAGGGACAGTTCCTGGATCTTGTCAGTGCCCGAGCAGGGCCGAGCAGGGCCGAGAAGCCAGCCTCCTGGTGCCCGGGACCCCTGCCCTGGCTCTCTTCCTAAGGGAAGGGAGCTGAGCCCCCGATGGGCCCTAGTGGACACTGAGAAGCATGTCCCCTGGACTCTCAGTGGCCATCGCGAGCGGGTCACGTCTCCTGCCTCCTGTCAGGCAGGATGGGCTCCCCATGCCCCAGGCCCTCCTCACTGTCTCAGCGATGAGGCTAGACTTGCGGGGGGCTGGCGCCGAGTCCCGGGGCGCCCTGGGAGGCTTTCATCCTCACCTCTGACGATCCAGTGTCAATGGCAGCCTGCTCACAGGTGACCCTCATTACTGGACTCGCAGTGATTGGTTGCTATCCATAGAGTGCCAATCCCGAGACGGCGGGCAGGAGGGAGACGGCCCAAGGCCCCCAGGCCGTCGCCTCCTGCAGGTCAGTGGGCTGAGGCTCCCACGTGCAGCCTGGTGGTGAGGGTCCTCAGGGAAGGGAGCCGAGCCCCTGGGGCTTGCTGTGGACCCCCACTGGTGGCAGCCAGCCGTGGGGAGCCCTGGTCCCGCCCTGTTCAGGTCGTGTCTGCCTTGCCGGGTGGTCCTGGCCAGACTGTGAGCTGCCTGAGGTCAGGGCGATCCCACGGGGGACGCCCCAGGCAGGTGCTGGAAACCCCATGGGGATGGGGACTTGGGTGCCTGCCCTGCTCTCCTGGTGTGTCCCACAGCAGAGCTCCGTGGTGTCAAGGGGCTGGGCTGGGTCAGAGAGACGCCTGGCACCGGTCGGGGTGGCGTGTGGCTCCTGGGGAGGCCGCAGCCTTGTGGAGTCCACCTCCTCCCTGGCTCCTGACTCCTTTCTGGTGCTCGGACTGCCCGTGTCGAGAGTGGGACAGCGGGGACAGGGAGCTTGGGAAACAAGGAGGAGGTTCAGTGGTGGCCGCCCCTGGAGAGAAGTAGGGTCCCTCTTTAAAAAGCAGTTGTGTCGATACATAACTCCTATCCATGGCTGCAGGCCGGATCGTGTCATCCCCAAATTCATGTTGATGCCCTGGTGCCAGCAGTTTCCCGGGACACAGGGCCTTCGGAGAGCTGATGAGTGACCGTGAAACCGTTAGGGTGGCCCTGATCCAACCCGAGTGGTGTCCTCACAGAAGAGGGCATTGGGACACACACAGGGACATCAGGGGCCCTCACAGAGGAGGGATGGAGGGGCACAGGAGAAGAGGCAGGAGCAGTCTCAGGAGGAGCCAGGGGAGGTCCTGCCGAGGACCAGACAGACAGCGCCGTGGTCCAGGCTGCTTGACCAGGTCACCCGGCGAGCACGGGCGGGAGCCGCAGTCCACACGGCCCGCCGCTGGCAGTACGGTTCCAAGGTTCTCACAGGTCCGTTGGGATCCGGGCCGTTACCTTCAGGGATCCCCATCCCTCAGCAACGCTGTGCCTCGAGCTAGGCCACTGTCCCACAGCCCACCCCTCACCCCACCCAAGCACCACTGTCTGCCTTCCGTCCAGGATTGTCCATCTGGACATTCCATACAAACGGAAGCTCACAACGGTGGCCTTTGTGACCTTCTGTCCCCAGCACCAGGTCCCACGTTCCCTTGTGGGATGGTCCACACCTGCTCATCCATTGTCAGCTGATGTCTGAGCTGCGTCCCTCCTGGTGAGTGACGCTGCTGTGACCTTGGTGGACGGGTTTCTGTTGAACAGAGCAGGAGTGGAGTCCCCGGGGCCTGAGGGAGCTCTGTTCACGGGGGAGGGGTAGATGCTGCAGGTCACCACAGCTGCAGGAAGGGGAGGGGCCATGGCAGTCCTTCCAGCCGGAGCCCTGGGAGATCTAGACCCAGAGACCAAGTGAAATGGGCAAGGCCTGCGGGGTCTGGGGCAGTGGGGTGCGGGACCAAGGCGCCTTTGCGCTCCCCTCTTGAGCTGGACATTCCAAGGGCGGAAACCCCTAAAAGCAAATCTTATCCAACAACTTAGTCCACTGACCTGAGATTCAGCCTTACCCAAGAACTTAGTCCACTGACCTGAGATTCATCCTTACCCAAGAACTTAGTCCAC